TAAGCCGCTTCACAACGATTGGCGACCTGCCTTCAAGCATAGCCTTATAACTATTTCCAAATATCCCCTTACCAAGTCCCTCAGCTGAAGCTTTCAGAAGATCTCCAAGTTGGAAATTTTCTCCTTCCTCCATGAAGATGAGCTTCCCTCCATCTGCTGCAGGCCCTTGGTTCTGGATTGAGATATCAGTCATGTTTTCGTTGTTCTTCTCCTTTGTTTCATTACTGCCTAGCTTCTTTATGAGCTCCTTTATCTCCAGATGTTTCTTGAAGTAGAGAAGGAGCAGCAATAAATTAGCAACAAAAAAAAGTACAACAACAAGAACTAGCAACAAAGTGACGCGAGGCTTGGAAGAAGAATTCTCTTCTGTGGCTTTGTTAGTATCAGGAGGTGCTGCTGTGTTATTTGACCCTTTTATGATTAAGTTGCAGATAGCATCAGAAGGCGGACCGCAGAGTCCGGGATTGCCACGGTAGGAGTCCGAGCCAAATGACTGAAGAGCCTTTGTTCTTGGAATTGAACCACTGAGATTGCTGTTTGAGACATTGAATACTGTTAAGGAAGACTGATTGAGTTCAGGTATGGAACCTGTAAGCCTGTTGTTTTGAAGCTGCAATGACTCCAATGAACTCAAACTCACAAGGGAAAGCGGAATTGGCCCATCAAACGCATTGGATGATAGATCTATAGCCTTCATCTTCTTGTTGGAAGAGAAATCGAATACATTTCCTGATAAGGAATTGTTCTTCAAGCTTAATGCAGACAATTCAGTGAACTTACTTAATGCATTGACATTCGTATTCCCCACCAATCCTAAACTATCCAATGATAGCGCCGTGACTCGGCCATCGACGCATCGAAGGCCAAACCAAAGAGGAGGTTGATTGTTGTGGCAGTGAGTTCCAGTCCAGTTTCTATTAAGGAAAGAGTTATTGAAAGTTGCCTTCAATGCATAAAGGGCATCTCTCTCATCTCCATTAAAGCCAACAAGGGTATCAACTTGAGCTGCAACAGAGCCAAACAATAGTATGGCTGCAATGAAGAACAAAGTAAACTCCATTCTCAAAAGTCCAACTCTGAGCAAATGTTCAGCAGCAGCAGATTTCTAAACGATGTCGATGAGATCAAACCCATCTTTGTTTTAAGTTCCTATTACAGCTAACCAATCTGAATTTTTTATATTTATCTTAAAGATAAAAACAAGGGAATGATTCACCCTTTTTTTGTTGTTGAAAAGGGGATATTCCAGCTATGGTACAAGGTTGGTTGTTTGACATTGTTTCCAATCCAGCTTGAACAGGACAGGTACTAGACGTGTAAAATCATGTCGACTTGTAGTTGTACTTTTCTTTTAGCATAAAAAGTTGGTGAAGAACTCGAATCTCAAGTGAAGAAGTACACGTCAATTGTTGTTGATCTCTCACTTTCACCTATTTGTAGCTTTGTAGCTGTACTTCATGAGAGTTGGAAGTTCAAGTGGTTTGATTTGAACAGAAACCGTACTAGACATGTAAACCCATGTTTTTAACAACCGTGATTGTGAGGTCAACGGACGGTAGAAGGCGCTAGTCGGAGTAGGGGTAGACCCTCTCCATAGTAGACGTATTTCAAAATCGTGAGGCTGACAACGATACGTAACGGGCCAAAGCGAACAATATTTGTTAGCGGTGAGTTTAGACTATTACAAATGGTATTAGAGCTAGACAGGGTGATGTGCCAGCAAGGAAGCTGGGTGTCACAATCGCCTTTGAAGCATTACCATGACACTAAGCACCCAAGGAGGTGGATTGTGAGATTCCATATTCTGTTGAAGAGAGGAATGAAGCATTCCTTATAAGGATGTAGAAACCTCTCCTTAGTAGACGCATTCTAAAACCGTGAGGCTGACAGCGATACATAATATCTCTACCGTAGAAAACATAGTGGGTCCATAGTAGATTCTAGTGTGAGATGAGGAAAAGGTGGTTTAAGAGAGAGAAATAGGGAAGAGAATATCTTGCTGGCTCGAAAATTTGACCTTTAGCCCTGAAACTACCCTTAAAGGGAGCAAGCTCTTTCTTCCTTCGATTGATTTAGCCATTTCCAAAGAAAGAGTAGCTATTTTTAGTGGTTTTATTTCCATTTTCAAGGTATTGACATAAAAAAGAGGGCCTAATACACACGGAACTATGGCAACGAAACGGGTCTGCGGGCCAGCAACCCGTCCGAACTCAACCATTAGAAACATCCCAGAAAAGCAAGTCACCAGACAATAAAGATATCAGGAAAAACATAAGACCTACCCCCTCGACAACTCTACTACTTAGGATATCATTCCCCCTTATTAGCAAAGGGTACAGTGACACCTTAGAACATGAAGTTCAGAATACACCACCAAATCAAAGGATGTTATTTCAGAGATAAAGTAATCAGAAGGGTCATAAACATGTAAACAACGAATACCATCTATCATTACTAATAAAGGAGATTATTTGTTTAACATGTAATCAAAATTTCCAAACAAAAGTCAAGAAACGAAATTTAGCTCAAGCTGCCCAACGTAATGAACATTAGTATGGACTAAATAGATAAACACAAATGAAATTGTATATGACATAATTCTGAACAATCAATATCGAAATGAAGCACGCGACAAACATATAAAACTTGAGTTTTTTATAGCCTTGACGATGCACACCAACTGTAACAAAAAAAATCACCCTCCATGTATAAGCAAGCACATGAAATTCTAACCAAAGAGGTCTACTCAGCCACAAAACACAAGTACTATAAAACCTATAAAGTACAACTCAGCAGGCTTGTAATTTGGCGAGAGATTGAACCATCATATAAGAATACAGACATCCATACAGTATTAACCTAAACAAAGTAAAGTTCAACCGCTTCAGATTCACTATACATGTTACCTGCACACCAAATGACATTCAGATCTTTTACTTTGAGACTAATAGGATTTCTGGTTTCTTATCTTTGCTGGGTGTATTAGCATTAGAAGAAGAATTTGCTGATGCTGCAGCCTTTGCAGCCGCACGAGCTCTGTTGTCAAGTTGAATGAGACTGCGAGTTGCCAATATTACCTGCGGTACCAAATCATGAGATGCCCTCGCATATAAACACCTGACAGCAACGGAAGCTGCATCCTTAACATCTTGCGAATTCAAAGGAGCCAGTAAACAATGTCCTAAAATTCTAAGCACTGGCTGCAAAAGCTCCCACGGCAGCGGAATTCTGAACCTCTTAGGTTCTGAATCATCTGAATTGCTCCCATGTTTCTCAATTTGGAGTTTACCCATTTCTTCCGAAACATCTTCTATTTCATCCTCAAACTCCAACGCCCTTTTCTCCGAAAACCCACTAATTTCCAAATCATCCTCTTTATCAAACTCCCTCTTGCAGCAACAATCTTGCCCAGCCCATGACGCCGCAGATCGGCAGAATTCAAGCTTCGACCAGCTCGGCATATGCGGGATCTGCTTGTAATAGCAATCAAGAGCAACGCCAACAATGCAAGCTCTTTTGGTTGACTTCACCGCGTTCTGTGGTTCAAGCGAAGGGGAAAGAACGCCAACAGACGGCCTGGATTGAGCTTGGGCAACAGAATCGGGCTTATTCCGAGGAGAATGGTAGAGAGAAGGCTGCGAAAGATCAGGAATCGATACCAAAACAGGCTTCCCAGCCCGAGACTTAACCTCAGAGGAATAAAGCGCGAGAAGTACAGCCTCAAAGCCGGCGAGGGAAGGGAGAGAAGGGGAATCGGAGGAAGTAGAATGGACTCGAGAAAGGTATAAGGAGGAAAGAAGAGGAAGGAAAGAAAGAACAACAAGGCGGAGATGGGGATCGGAAGAGAGAAAAGTATCGTAAAGCCAGTGACAAAGAGGGTCAGAACCAGATCCAGCAGCGGAGGAGGAGAGGGCAGAGGAGATAGCGAAGTAAGCATCATGAGATGATAGAAGAGAGAGGGCTGGGCGGTCGGAATCGGCGACGGAGGAGAGGAAAAAAGAGTCGGAATGAGGGGGAAGGATAGAGGAAAGGGCGTGGATACGAGAGCGGGCTTTGGAAACGGACTCCCACCAGGAGTGCATAGGGTCGCTGTCGGCGGTGGCGGTAGCGGTGGTGGCAGAGACGGAAGCGGAGGGATTGTGAGCAGCGGTGGTGGAGGAGGAGGAGGAGGAGGGGGAAGAGGAATGGCGGTTGTTGAGGGAGGGATTCCGGTGGAAGTCCATTGGGTGTAAAGGCTTCTACTGCTTATTCTTCAGTGGCGTTGATCTGAGCCCCCTGCCTCCAGGGGGACGACGAAGCCAATGGGTCAATCGTGAAGACAATTACACAAGTGATTCCAACTTTCGGATTAATACTTCTTTTTTTTTTTCCAAAATTGACCTTCTACTTTTCAAAAGTCTCAAATTTGCCCTCAAACCAGGTTTTTTTTTTCCTTTTTATTTTTGTTTCTCAAACTTGACCTTCTATTTATTTTTGTAACCCTAATTTTAATTTAATTAATTTTAGCTCACACACTTTAGTAAATATCATTTTAGCCCCATATTAACTCAAATTTAATTAATGGTTTAACAGTAGGTACCAAACTATATTGTTAGTATATTGAAATTCTTACCGTGTAAAACTTTGAGAGGAAGCATATGATTGTAACATAGATGTCGTCTTGGGTGATGATCCTCAATCCTCGTTGAGTATGTATAAGGATAGTATTTTACCATTTACGTATCAAGATCTGCATCACAGTTTTAAAATATGTCTACTATGAGAGATTTCCACACCTTTATAAGGAATGTTTCGTTCGCCTCTCCAACCAATGTGGGATCTCATAGAATCAGTAGTTCGTCTCTCCAACCAATGTGGGATCTCATAGAATCAGTAGTTCGCCTCTCCAACCAATGTGGGATCTCATAGAATGAGTAGAAAAAGTAAAAACGAGGCCGATGTTACAAAATCTGTAGTTCTCACTTACTTTATTTTCATGGATAGGTAATCCAGGAAACAAATGTGACAAAGAAATACCAATTATCAACTACAAAGATGCTAAATCATGGTACATAGTTTTTTTCGTAGCTTAGAAATAGAAACATGAGGCATATGAAGTAATAAGATTTCCTCCTACCCTACACTCCACCTTTAAACTCTTTTTGGCATGAATGGTGTATGCGAGGACGTTCCACGAAGAAAAAAGGGAGCTTACCTCAGTCAAAAATTCTCTCACCTGTTGAAAACAGCAAAAATACAATAGAGCTAAGAACGCAGAGCAGCCCCGGTATGGAGAAAACTGCTCTCCAGCTTTCTGGACTTGAGAGATCTGAATTGGCAGCCTTCGCAGCTTCCAGTAATTTCCCAGTAAAATCAACCCCGATGATACCAGCTAGCGTACCAGCAGTGTTCGAGACTCCCATGACGATACCAGCATATCGAGGAGCGATATCCATATGATTCACAGCAAATCCTGCTCTCCCTAAAGCTAAGAAACCAAGAGCCACAGATGAGCAGAAGATAGCCCCACTAGAAGTTCTGAAGATGGGGATGGCCATCAGTGCCATTGATGCTACAGAAAAGCCTGTCGTATTCAAGAATTTCCGGGTTCGAGTAACAGATAAAATCCTTTTAGTGACCAAGTAATCAGCAGCTATCCCACCGACATTCGAGAATAAGAACATGTTAAGATAAGGCAACATCTTAGAGGAACCCATCTCCTGGAGGCTAAGTTGAAGACCAAGCTCAAAGTAAGTAGGCAGCCAGTTCATCAACACATATAAAGCATAATGGAAGGTAAAATTGTTTACCACGATTGCCCAAACTGGCAAGCTCAACAAGATTTTCTTCCACGGGATGTTTGAGGTTCGTGTTGAAGTTCCTCCGCTCTCTACTCTTACTTTCTGGTTTCCTTTGATTGGCAGCAGGGGTTCACCAAAACCTGCAGCAGCAGCTTTGGGATGTTCGGAACGTGGAGGGTCGGTTGCATACTTGAGCCAAAGCACAGACCATGTGGCACCTAACAATGCCTCAGCAGCAAATACTGACTGAGGCCCTCTATACTTTACCAGGCTTGGAAGGATAAGCATGCCTGCAGCGGCACCTAGGTACATTCCAGAGGTTGTAAGAGATACAGATCTTGATCTTTCATGAGGAGGAACCCACTGAGCTAAAACAGTGTGGATTGAAGGAAAGATGAAACCTTGAGCCACACCGACAAGCAACCGAGCAATTACCAAGACCATCACCCTACTCGGATCCAGTGGAACTAATGCACAGGTAAGGGACCATAAAATAAATGAGATCAGAAGAACCCTTCTACCTCCAATTTTTTGAGCAGCCCATCCTCCAGGAACCTGGGAACAGGCATATCCATAGTAAAATGTTGAAAGAATAGTGCCTTTGCTTGATTGGTCTACCCCCACAGCATCAGCTGCAAAGGTATAAGCAATCGAGAAGCCAACACGCTCCACGTAACAAACAGATGTGCAGATGAAGGTTAAAAGAACAATCCAATAACGCTTCGGAATTTTCATTATTGACATACTTCACCAACAAATGTACGCATTCTTTTAAGAACCTTTACTGTTGAAGATGGAGCAAAATCGCCCATGGCTCAGACGATATTGAAAACTTCATATCTTTGAACAGTATCTAGAATTCTAAAAATGGCCTGAAAAAAGGAGAGGAAAAATATAGGACATGAAACATAAATGGAAACCAAGTTCTTATTGTGAACAAAATAATTGCACCAAATCAACTTCAAGTTACTTTTGCACATCAAGGAAAATCAAGCAAACGGTACGTGTCGCACGTTGGTAGATGAAAGGACACATTTATTTTGAGCCTCACTGTACTTTTTCTCTTAGAAGAACCAGTAGAAAGGATACAACCAAAAGATGGAAATATAGCTGTTCTACCTATTATTGTTCATCTCTTACTTGACTATAACTTAAGTATGAATAAGAAAGTTACTCATTACTTCTCTGCTTAGAAAGAAGATAAGTTAGCACAATAATAGACTAATGGATGATAGATGACTTCTTTCCTCAACATTTCATTTAAACATTTCGTGTAAATCGATATTGTAACCGCTCAAGCCCACTACCGCTAGCAGATATTGTTCTCTTTGGGCTTTCCCTTCCCGGTTTCCCCTTAAGGCTTTAAAACGCGTCTGATAGGGGAGGTTTCCATGCCCTTGTAAGAAATGTTTTGTTCCCCGCTCCAACCAATGTGAGATCTCACAATCCACCCCCTTGGGGGCCAGCGTCCTCGCTGGCATACCGCCCGGTGTTTGGCTCTAATACCATTTGTAATAGCTCAAGCATACTCCTAGCAGATACCGTTCAAAGTGTATACCATTTGTAACAACTTTGATACCATTCGGTGCAGATTGTGAGATCCTACATCGGTTGGAAAGGGGAACGAAAACTTCTCCTTAGCAGACGTGTTTTAAAACCTTGAGGGGAAGCTTAGAAGGGAAAGTCCAACGAGGATAATATCGTCTAACGGTGGGCTTGAGCTGTTACAGAAATATTCCTATCAACAAATGGATTCATTGGCAGATAGTATGATCTTATTCAATACCAGATCTAAGAATTGCAAAAATCATCATTTAAACCCTCTCTGATCAGTAAAGTCGATGGAGTGACTACAAACACATTCATTTAAATCTTGCAATGTGGTCCGGATTTACGAAGAAATGAAAAAATTCCTCTGGAAACGAAAAGTAAAACGGCTCCAGAAAGTAGTAGTGGAATGAATTAGAGGAAGTGCACATCGCACATCGAGTGAAGAACAAGGACTGAAAATACACTAAAATGAAAGATAGTTCATGCTCTAACGATCTACATTGATCAAACAGACAATTCCTAATCGAAGCGACAAACAAGCAGAAAGCAGACATTGTAAGGGAGGAGAAATAAATCCACGAATTAAAAGTAAACCTCAAGGACGAGGAACAATTGCAGTTTATACCTAAAAATGGTTCCGATTCAGCAGAGGAAGAACACAATTCAAGCAACAGAGACCCAATGCAGAAACGTGCCTTCCATCAGAGCCAAAACCAGCAAGTCAACTCAGTTTGGGCGTTGAGTGCTAGAATTCGGAAGCAAACTTGCACTGTGAAAGAACCATTCGAATCCACGTGCAAAAATGCGGAGAAAATAGGGGTTTAAGCACCGCGATTGGGCTTCTCTAGGGGGAAAAAATCAAATCGAAATTGCGACCATCATAAACAAATTCCAAAAACCCCGTTCAAACCCCGACCCAAATTTTCCCACCTCTTTTACCTCTCAAACAAATCCGGCACCATGCGAAAAAGAACCCCCCCACCGGCGTTCGGCATACACGAAAGACCACTGATCGGAGCTATGGCCGGCGGCGATGTCCGGTAGTAAGGAAGAGATAACCGGCGGCAACTTTTTCTTCCTTTTTTTCCTTTTTGGCATAGAGATCTGATTAGAGAAGGCAAGGGTGGGGCAGAATTATAGGAATTGGGCCCCTTCTCAGGAATCGATTCCCAGTGTCGGACTTTGGAAATCCATGTCTTTTAAGCCAATCCGAGCGATTAAGGCATTAATTTCCATGGTCAAGATCGATGCTTTCATACTCCACCGTATGTATATGTTTCAATTCCAATATATAACTCTCTTTTAAGTTCAAGAATGAACTGATGTTGGGTTTCTATATCATTCATTTAGTTAGTCTAAACTTAAAAAAAATTAAAATTAAAATTAAAATTGACAGATATACTAATACAAATTTATATATAGTAAATAAATTAATTTTTTATAATTTTAAATTTGTTAGAAAGTATTAGATACTTAAAAAGAAGATGGAAATTAATAATTAAAATACTAATGATAATAAAGTCATTATGGAAAAGATTTGGAAATATCGATGGATAATATCTCCAAAATTTTTATAAATACACCTAATATAAATACTAATAAAGTAAAAACAACTCAATGATTAATTTAAATTTTATTTTAATTTTCAAATATATTTATGAACCTACTATTGGCCCGCCTCCCTTTGTTTATCTAGAGTATCATAATTGATAATATACCGAAAAAGTATAGCTATCCTTCTTCAAGACTTTCCTTTTTTTTCTTCTTTCGTCCAATATAGAATCGTGTCTGTTCAATAGAAAATTCATTTTTGTAGATAAAAATCTTTCATCAATAGAATCGTCTCTATCATATCATGTCTAAAAAAATAAGTAAAAAAGAAAAAAAGAAAAAAAGAAAAAGAAAAAGCAGTTATATCTTGTTCATCTTTGTTCTTAGTTTATGATACAGAAGATTCAGAACTAAAAACTCAGCTGCATCTTGATGCTTGTAAACTGAGAATCTGTAGCTGAAGAGAAGGTTGAAGCCAAGAACAGCTATTATAACCCAATGGCTAGATAATCAAAAGGATATTGAATATTTAAACAGAGTTGTTCACTGCAAAACGTTTTGTTTTTGTTTTCCTTATCAAAATGTGTAACGGCCCAAGCCCACCACTAGCAGATATTGTCCTCCCTGGATTTTTCCTTTCGGGTTTCCCCTCAACGTTTTTAAAACGCGTCTGCTAGGGAGAGGTTTCCACACCCTTAGAGGGTGTTCCGTTCTCCTCTCCAACCGATATGGGATATCACAAAATGCATCTAATCTAATCTAATCTAATCTCTCAAGAAAATAAAGAAAAACAAAGATAAAGAAAAACAAGACAGGAAAGGGCAAACGACTTGATGAATACAAGAATATGTACTCTGGGATCTCCAGAAATCAAGATACAAACACTGTTCTTGTATGACAAAATCTAATCCTGAGAGAATAAATTGTGAGAATCCAATGATTCATCAAATTCAATCCATCAAAGTGATGCAATATAAATTTAGCAGTAGAGAAGCTATATAAATTTAGCAGTAGAGAAGGGAGGGATGCCAATAGATTTATGCAGCATCACTTTATGAGATCAAATTTGAAAAATGAACTGAATTCTTAAAAATTAAAAGAGTTGTTTGAAGGAGGGAGGAGAGTGGCAACCTATTATCTCTCCTGCATTGTGCAACCTTGTTGGTTTGTTGGTAATTTTGATTAGCAACCCCTCTACAAATTTTGCTTAAACTCAGATATGTGATACAAGATGAACAGGGAAGAAGATTATGATAAAATTATTTTTTTCCAGGAAAAAAAAAAGTGAAAACTATATGCACAAATGTGAAATATGTGCGTGTATGATAGATATACACATATATCACTTTTAACTTACAGGAGGGGGGCTTCCAGAAATCATCTTGGACCGGACAATTCATCGGGAGGAATTTCAGCAGTAGAGTCGAGAATCCACGTTGCACTCGGGTGGGGATTGCGGCTTGTGTCTTGATGAAACCACTCCTCTTTCTGCCATTCTTCCCATCTTTCAGCTAAACCATCGCCCTCGAGCATCCGTACGACCTCTGACATCTTAGGCCGCTCTGTAGGAGTTCCTTGTGTGCACAACAATGCAACTTGTATAAGCTGCTCGACTTCGTCGTCGGGATATTTTCCCGCAAGATCGAGATCAACTAGTGTTTCCAACCTCTTGTCTTTCAGAAGTCCTTTCACCTGTAAGTTCCCCAGCGTGAATATAAAAATGGATACTTCCATAGAGTCCAAGCTACTTTGTATGCAGATCAAGTAACTACAAAGGCTGAATGATACAACTTTTAAGGCATCCAAATTCATACCCGTCTATTTCCATACTAAGGAGATGAACAAATACTTCTTACGACGCCTTAATGACATACTCCTAAATGGTTGAGAAAGCAACCTTGAGAGATACTGATAAAGTAAATTATGAAAACCCTTTAATTTGTACTTGTATGAAGTTGTCACGTTTTAGTGTACTAAACTAATAAACTAACCCATATATTCATAGGTGCCAAAATATTAATGAAGAGAATCCAAAAATATTGAGGTAAGGCAAAACATACCCAATCAAGAAGCATGACATCATCATCATTTGCAAGCCGGGCAAGATCGAAGGCTCTCTGTCCAGTTATGAGTTCAAGAAGCATGACCCCATACCCAAAAACATCGGTCTTTTCAGAAGATTTTCCTGTCGAAAGGTACTCGGGCGCTATATGCCCAATTGTTCCTCGTACAGCAGTTGTGACATGAGTATCTTTGTAGTCCATGAGTTTAGCCAACCCAAAATCACCAACAACGGCTTCATACTCCTCGTCAAGCAAAATATTCGCAGCTTTCACATCGCGATGAATAATCTTAGGATCACAATGATCATGTAGATAAGCAAGCCCCCTTGCCGATCCCAAAGCAATGCGTTTTCGATTCAACCAATTAAGTGGAGGCTGTGAATCTCCACGTTCTGCAATAATATAAAACCAAAAACAAGAGTATCATAAGAAAATTCAGCATGTGCTATGGATGTGCAGAACATGTTGATTTTCATTCATTGATCTGGCAAACAGTCATTTCATGTGATTGTGGATTTGAGAGCGAGAGATCTGTCCAGTATGTAATATTTTTTTCTGACTGCAACCCTATTCAGATGTTTAAGATCCATAATATATATACAGTATGCTATGAAGCAGTACCTCGTAAACACGATGCTACACTTCCATTAACCATATATGGGTAGACCAGCAACCGTTCAGTGGGTGTCATACAAAAGCCACGCAGGCGGAGAAGATTACGATGCACAGCCATACTGATCATCTCTACTTCTGTTTGGAATTGCAGCTCCCCACCCTGTGAACGTTCCTCTTTAAGTCTTTTAACTGCCACTAGAGATCCATCAGCCAGCCGTCCCTTATAGACCTTGCCAAAACCACCCCTACCAAGAATATGTTTGTTGCTAAAATGATCTGTTGCAACTTGTAGTTCACGAAGAGAGAACCTCTTGAGCTGACCAAGATGAACTTCCGGATCCTCTTCGGCTGTAGAAGAATTGAAATGGAATAAAGAATCCTCTAAAATGACGTAGGAACATAACATTTTTATAACTTTGCTGCTAAGTACACTGACCAGGTACATCAAAGAAATGATCTTGTGGTTTCTTCCGACGCCACAGAGCAACCGCAACAGCTGGTGCAGCAAACAGTAAAGCAGCAGCAGCAGCAACTCCACCAGCAATAGCTCCAGTGGCACTATTGCCTAAGGCCATGCACCAAATTGAACAGAAAGATAATAAAGTCATAGAAAGAAGCCAAATTTAGAGCAGTCATAGTTTAATCAACAGTGACAAATGACCATATATATCTTTCGTTCTTTTTTTAGAAACAAATTTTTGGTTAATAATTTAGAAGTAACAACAAAAACAAGAAAGTAAACTTCAATTAAGAGAATAAAGCCAAAAAACCCAATTCATAACAAAATTTACGCAGAAAATAAAAAATAATAATAATAAATAAATAAAAGGTTTCGTGTTGTATAGTCATTGCTGAACAAAGAAAATCAAGAACGCTAAGCAACAGCTTTATTTATATTTAACTACACCCATCTGTCACATCACTCAGATTGTTCGACTCCAAATATCTTATGGTTTCTCTCAAACCATACTTCCAAAATAAACTCTTTAACCATGTTTATTCATAATAACTTCTTTTCAAATGCCAATTTTGAACAGTCGAGTATTGACTATATCTATTTGAACACATTTAGTACTGTAAATGGAAGCTAGAAGAACACAGGAAATAATTGTGTTCCAAAAAAAAAAATGAAAAAGGCATATGGTACAGAAGTAAATAAGAAATAATTTAAGTTAAAAGATTACAGTTACTGCCAGGAGGACAGCAAGCTGAGCAAATATATCTACTGCTTCCATGTGGTTTGACTTCATTCTAAAATAATTATTCATGTATATTCCTCATTTTTTTTTTTAATAAAATTGTTAAAATTTATTCTATATTGAATTAATGTAAATAGCAAATGAAAATATAAAAAGGAATTTACTCTTCGAAACAACTTCCTGATGAAATAACCACAAGAAAATATCAGAAAATAGAAGTCAAAATGTACTGAGCCAATGACACATTTGAAGACCTTTAAGCTTTTAAGAGGCTTGGGAACACACAGAATAGACAAGAACATCAGTTTATATATATATATATATATATATTTATGGTAACTAACCTGATGTGGGGTTTGGTGAAGAAGGTAAAGGAGGTGGTGGTGTACGTGCAGTCGATTCATTAAGAAGATTATGAGCAAAACTGCATGGAGAAGGATTGTTAGTAACATGAGCTACTGCAATATGATAAAGAAGAATAATAATAAAAATACAAAGCTTATTACCTGATAGGGGTAAAAAGAGAAAAAGAACCATTGACCGGAATATCTCCAGTTAGCTGGTTGTATGAGAGATCCCTGCAGTACAGTTGAATGATAATGTTACCTAAAACAGAAAAAGAGCAAGAATTACTGGTCCTTAGGATAAATATTAAGCATATTACTCACAGGACTTGCAAGGATTTAACATTAGTTAATGACATTGGAATGGTTCCCGTTAAGCTGTTGTTGTTAAGACGCCTATTTCACATATGAAAAAGAAAACCATGTTAGAGATCCACTTAATAGTGAGTTCAAAAAAAGCACAGAAATATAACAAAATAATTTTTTTTTTGGGGGGGGGA